CCGGCGGTGCTCAGCCTGACCCGTCCCCCCCGTGAGGAGGCTCAAAGCTTCCCGCGGCGGCGCCGGGGTCTCAAGGTGAAAGGCAATCCTTGCTCTTCAGCAGCCTGAATTGCAGCCGTACTTTAATCACTCCTGCATGTCACTTAAGACTGATCCTAAATGCTATTTTATAATATACAGAGGAAAAAAAATGTCTATTTTTCAAAGCTATATTATTGAATGTATATATGTATAGACAGATCAGTAAGTGATGCGAGTGTCTCGTTACCGACCAGTGTTCTCCGGGAGCGGGCAAGCCCCCGGGCGCTTTGGCAATAGCCCGCTCGTGCCGCGACTGCAATATTCCCGCCAAGGGGACCACAGCGGGCTCCCTTTCTGTACAGGCACCGTAGCACCGACGCCTGTGCGACCCCAGCCTGAGCAAGCTGCTTTTGAGAGTCAGAGAGCAGCTTCTCCACCTGAAACGTTTTTACACGCAGAAGTTTTTAATCCGCGTTAGACGCCAGCGTTTAGCCCTGTGGGTTACGCAGCTGCCAAAGTAAAAGCCATATTGCAAAGCAAGCACAAGGTAAGAGGAGCCTCAGCTCCAAGGCGAGGCGATTGTCTGCACTGTTTTAATGCCAGACACTAAAATCACGGCCAGAAAAGGCTCCCAAGCCCTGGGAGGTGTAAGCTATGCAATGGGGTGGGCTGGCGGAGCCGCGCTTGCTGCCAGAGCCGAGACTGACCCTCTCCGCCAAAGCACCAAAGAGCCGAGCTGTGGGCAGAGACCCAAAGCAGGTCCTCAGCCTTAACCCAGGGGTGCACGCTCAGAAAATACTTGGGTTTGCTCTTAGGAAGGCAGAGAAACCCCCCCCAGCTACCGGCCTTGCACTCGTGTAAGGCGAGAGGAAGGTGCGGGGGAACAGGGGCCGTTCCTGGGAGAGTGGGAGAATGATGCCAATTAATTAGGGCCCTTCCTTGGACAGAGCACATGATGCATTCAAAGGGGTGGAACTTGGATAAGCACTTATTTTTCCCCATTTAAAGACAAGTTCCCCCTTTTTTCTAGCGTGCAGATAAAAAAGCCACACTGCAGGCAGCAGCAGGCTCTGGGAGCCTTCCCCTGCCAGGTCTTGAGGGTTTCCTAAAATGAGAGGAGGTTGCTTACCCCGCAGCCGGGCAAGGAGCACCCCATCCCTGTGCTGGCACAGTGCAGTGCTGCCTGCCCCTGCCCATGCTGGACCAGGCTGTATTTCACCCCTCGTCCGGCACCGAGCCCGACTGACGCCGACTGCAGCCATAAGAGTGATGCAGAGGAGGTGGGACGGGAGCCTGGTGCCTTCTCTGCCCTTTCCAGCCTCCC